TGGCTTTTACTATCCTCACGGGGGCCAAGAGAAATGGAATGCAGCGGATCAGCCTCACTCTCTTCTGTGAAACTCTTCTTCACTTTGATTTCTGTGACTTGACTTTACTCCGATTCTCTTCCTCTGGATGTTCCTTCCGACCCCTTCCCTGGCTCTTTTTTTGCCCTACTTCCCCTACATGTGAGCCTTCCCCCAAAGATTCTCTCCTCTCCTCTCTCTCGCTCTCCATCATCTCTCTCCCCACTACCCCCACCCTCTCTTCCCCTTCTCTCTTTTAACATCCATTCTCATGATTTCAACTATGACTCAGAAGTTATCAAAAATTCTAATGGTCAAGAGACTCCAGCATACAGATCTCTCTCTAATCAAAATGCATCTCTCCCTCTCTCACACTTATCACATTTGATTTATACAGCAATGGCACGAGACCACAGGCAGCCTAGAATTATACTCATTTGTGTGTTTGGCCATCTCCTCCTTATCCACCCCCATACCAGAACCAGAGCTCCTTGAGAACGTGTACTTTATTTTACCTCTGTCTTTCCTATAGCCTTCCAGGTAAAGTTATTATAACACATGTTTGAAATAATTTCTTTCAAACTATATTCTCTGCTGTCCCCCCAAAAGTGCCTTCCAATTCAGAGTTAAGAAAACAGGTACCTTGTACATAGTTAGTGTTCAATAAATAGTTGTTAAATGAATGAATGACTTATTTATAATTTATTGAATTGAATGATTCCCACATCTATAATCTAAGCCCTACATATGTTGTTTGCTATAGGACCCACCCACTCGAGTATCTCATTGACATATGGAATTTAGTATGCAGCAAAAGTTTACTATTTTTCCCCTGACAGAGATAAATAAGATTTATGAATACCATTATTGCTGACACCCTTCCATTGCTCTACTCCTCCCGTTTGTCCCAGTCCTCTCCCTCCTGGCCCCTCACATCTAATATTCATAATTGTGTTGATGACAGTTTCTCTGGAAGGTTTTCTCTTTCCTTGGGGCTTTAAGAAGGAAAGGAAGAAGAGGCATGATTTCTAATCTCTTTCTCTGAGTTAGGAGGAAAGGAAGGAAGGAAGGAAGAGAAAGGAGGGAGGGAGGGAGGGAGGGAGAAAGGGAGAAAAGAAGGGATAAAGATAAGAAGGGAGGGGAAAGGAAATGAGGGAGGGAAGGCAAGTGATATAGTGAAAAAAATGCAGGTTTGGAGTCAGATAGACCTAGGGTTGAACTCTGGCTCCATCACCTACCAGCTGTGACTATGGGTAAGTCTTTCTGAACCTTCATTTCCTCATACGTGGAATGAGGATGCTAGCACCTAGCTTGTTGTGAGAAAACAATGAAGCAATAGATGTAAGGAACCCAGCAGTGTGCCCTCGTTGTTATTGGGAATTAAAATATAGGTGTATTTGGAAGGTGTGAGGTCCACTCCAATTGGCTGAGTTTTCCTTATGAAGTGAACAAATGGAATTACCTGCTGATAGTGAGTGGAACGAGACAGTTACTCAACCTTGACAGAAAGGTGTAGTGATGTGAAGCCCTGGATGTCTAAACTTACTAATAAAATCATGGGGAAGTGACTGGCTCCATATCATTGTACCCAAGTTAGCTTTATCCACATGTATTCTCTGTAGTGTGCCTTTTTGTCTTTCTAAATGCTCAACTCTGTCTCCAGCAAGGCTGTTAACAACGTTAGAGTGGAAACCAGGACTACTTGGTTTAGCACCTAGGACAGCACAGGAAATCTGTTTCTACCATTTAATCCATCTATCTCCTTTCCATCCTCCCCCACTGAGCTAATGCCTCATCCACATCCCACTTGAATCTTTTGCTGTTTTCAGTTGCAATAACAGAAAATCCCAACTTAGATGACTGTTTTTAAAAAAGGAAATATATTATCTTGCATATAAGTTCAGTAGTGGGTGGCTTTGAAGCTGATTAATTCAGCAGTTCAACAATGTCATTTTAAAAATCCTGATTCTTTCCATCTTTCTGATTGGCAAATCTCAGCATGTTGTTTAGCAGCTTTCATGGTCACAAGGTCTCTATTGCTGTTCAGGCATTGTTTCCAGACATGGCAATATTCAATGGCAAAAGAGGAGGGCTTCTTCCTTTATGCTTATTTTTATCATTCAAGAAACCTTTCCCAGAATCTTTCCAGCATACCTCCTCTCACATAACAGTGGCCTGAATTTCATCATGCCTATAACTAAGCTGATCACCGGCAAGGGGGATAAAACGACCATGGCTGGCACAGAGGAGCACAGACCCATGTGGAGGAGGGTGAAATACCTTAAAACAGGGATTCTTTCCACAAGGAGGAAGAGAGGGATGACTATTGAGTTCGTAAGGAATTCTGTCTACTACAATCTTTTACTAAGTAACCCACCCCTTCCTCATGCAGAGATCTGATCATCATTTTCTAAATGGAAGGTCTGGTTAGAGATATCATCCGGTAGTACAGAATGAGGTGGGTAAGGACCTAAAAATATTTCTCCCACCATTGTATTATAGGGGCCAGAAACTCCAATAGAGATTCATTTCTTTGCCTTCTTACTGTCGCATCCTTGTAAAATGCAGGTATTCCAGGTCAAAGTGACACTGGTGATAGTTCTCTTTGAGAAGCTTGGGAATCCAGTTAGCTTTGGGAAGCCAACTGGAAAGAGGCACAAAGAAATTTTCTGGGGAGATGGAAATGTTCTATATCTTAACCTGTGTGGTTGCTATATGTGTGTTTATACAGGTGTATTAAACTCCTATGGATGCTGTAACAAATTACCATAGGCTTGGTGACTTAAAACAATACACAGTTCTTCTCTTACAATTCTGGAGGTCAGAAGTCCAAAATCAGTTTCAAAGGGCCAAAATCAAGGTTTCAGCAGGGCCATGCCTGGGCAGGAACAGCCATCTTGTGGCCATGAGAGACTTCGGGGAAAGTCGATTTCCTTGTCTTTTCCAGCTTCTAGAGCTGTATTCCTTGCATTCCTTGGCTCATGGCCCCTTCCTCCATCTTCAAAGCCAGTGACCTAGCATCTTGCTTCAGACCCCATATTGCCTCCTACCTCTGAGTCAAATCTCTCTCTGCCCCTCTCTCATAGAGACCAGTGATAGCACTAGAGCCCACCTGGATAATCCAGAATAATCTCCCCATTTCAAGATCCTTAATTTATTCACATCTGCAAAGTCTCTTTTTCATATAAGGTGACATTCGTCAGTTCCCAGAATTAAGACCTGACATCTTTGGGGGGCATAATTCAGCCTGCCACAATGGGTAAAAATTCACTGAACTGCAGTTAAGATTTGTGCATTTTACCTCAGTCAAGAAATGCACAAACTTCTGGAAAAGAGTAATGATTTACATTCTGTCATAATAATGAATTAAAGACCTAGCAGATCTACTCTCTTCCTACTGAGAGACCCATGGATCTGAGTAGAAAGAGAGGATAAGAGGGATTGAGTACCTAAAAGGGAGATAGGAGACTCGAGTGTGGGTCTAAAGACAAAAATGGGCCGACCACCAGTTATTCTAGAGATTCTGGGAAAGGTTTCCTGGATGATAAAAATAAGCACACAAGAAGAGAAGCCTTCCTCTCCTGCCATTGACTATTGCCATGTCTGGCATGAAAAGTACATTCATTCTGACTTTTCACCTTCCTCTCAGACACCAGCCTTGGCATGTATATGAGCCTTTCCTGTATGTCCAGCAGTAGTTTTTATCCCACTATGGTACCTGCAGAATCTGGGCTTCTCGTACTATCTGAAAGCTCCTGAGAAGGAGAGAGTTATAGTAACTAAACAACAATGCCCTGAGATGCATATTGGCTAGGAATGGCAGGGGCTGACACTGTGAACTGTGCAAAGAGAATATGGGACAGCTGTCCAGAGCCTTCAGTGAGGGGCAGGAGTTAGGGAAGGCCGTGCCCAGCCCTCTGAGCCATAGCCAAAGCCATCCTCTGAAGAATGGACACTGCATAGTGGGGGTTGGGATTGAGGGCTGTGTCTATAGATAAGTAATGGCCAGCCAGCTGTAAGGGGAGGTAAAGGGGTTCAGAGTCCTGAACCCCCAGAGCTTGCAGAGTCTGTCTCTACATTCTCTATGCCCGTGAAGCCTGAGCCTGGGCCCTATGGGAAGGACAGTCAAGAAAGGAAGATTACTTTGTTGTTACCACTGTGGGGGTCCTGGCAGCTGCAGAGACAGAAATATCTCTAATTCCATGAGCGGTCATATGAGGCAAGAGAAGCTGCTTAGAACATGGACTTAGTTTCAGGGATTGGATAGAGTCAAGAGTGGGAGTGAGGAGGTTTACCCCAGGTGGGGGTGATACAGATGTCAATTGCCTATTCCCTCCACATGCATGCCCTGCCAGAAGAACCTGTCCCTGGGCTGGGAATCTTATGTTACCTTCCTCTCCAATGAGAAAAGAAGTTCAAGGCTCACCGACATGTGCACACACAGCTCAATGCACTCAGCTTCCCCTCCACCACTCCTGCCCCCACTACCTACAGGAGATTGACTCCTGCTGTGCACATAAGCTGGGATAATCAGGGTTTCTAAACATCAGCTTCAAGAGTCCAAGGTCCCAAGTGGTAGGGGGCTGGGTACAAGGTACTCTTTCCTATACTTGTGGCTTTTGTGTGGCCTGGAGCCGCTGACACAGAGATTGGAGTGTGACACAAGGTATTCCTTTCAAAAACACAAAGTCCTATACTTTGAGCCCTCCCATTTCAACCCCTCACCATGCTTCACCTTTAAGACCTTTAACTCCACTTTGACCCAAGTTCTCAGGTTCAAGGCCTCACAAGGCCAAAATCCTGAAGTTACCTTTCTCAAACTCCCCTGCCTTTAACATCATCAGAATCAACCTCCTGCCCCCACTCTGTCCCAGCAGCAATAGCCTGCTAATCTTTTAGCCACTAATCTTTTAGGCACTAATCTGCTTTCCAAACTCTTGGCACCTGAGCTATTTATAGTAGTGTTTCATGCCGCCCCCCAACCCCCCCTGCCGCAAAGAACCCTATTCTTTTCCGATGACCCCCACCAATCAAAACACTCAGAGGACTGTGGGTATAAGAGGCTGGGGAGGCAAGCATAGCAACCAGAGCTGGAGACTGATGTGAACTTGATCTCTCTCCCCAGGTAATATTCCAAAGCCCTCTACTTCTAGCCTGTATGAAGCCCTGTGTCCCTTGTTCTTAGCATCCCCTTTAATATATTAGGCAGCAGCTGAGGGACACCCTTCCTGACACAGCCTATAGTCATTCAGGCCTAGAGACCTTCCAAAGACCTCTGGAAGCTCCCCTAAGCTCACCCCCTGGGCCAGGCTCAGTAAGCATCAAAGGGAAGCACTAGAGAGACATCTCCCTGTCTCTAAGGATTCCCACCCCAAGGCCTAGCCCCTGGGGACCTGGATGTGGATAAGGATGGGAAAATCTAGGGAAAGGAATGAGAGGGATGAGTTCAAGGAGGACTTTCAACCTCCATAGAGACCTTTGTCACCAAAAACTGATAGCATGAAGGCATCAACCCCTTATCTCCCACACCTTTATCCCTTCTTTGTTTAGAGTCAAGGCCATCATGAGGTGAACTCAGGCTCAGGATCCATTGCAGGAGCAGAAGCAGACAGAATCCATTCATTTGTTCATTCATTCATTCATGTATCCAGCAAACATGCCTTGTGTGCCAGGGGATGTCTACTCTCATACAGACCAAGAAACACATTTTTCTCATACTTTTCTGGATGGAAACCTCTGTCCAGCCCCTTTCCAGAGAAGTTCCTTCTCTCTGAGGGCTCTCAAGAATTCCCCAGCCATTCTAGGAAGTTTGGCCCTTTCTGGAGAATAGATAGTATGGTTATTCAATGATTTGTACAAAGTAGGAAGGTTTTTTTTTCCCCTCTTGACCAAAATGGGCAAGAATATGGCTGAAGAAGGCTAAAGAAGTACCCTTGGCACAAGGGAAAACAGGAGGTACTTGATGTGGGTGAGGTGTCTGTCTGAGGAAAGGTTACATCACAGTAGGTGTATATGGATGGTATGCTGGAGTGGGATGAGAAGAATAGAGATGAAATGATTGAGCCTTTCTTCTTTCCCTCTTCCTAGAAAAGGCTCAACATCAACTATATAGCCAACATGTCCAAGTAAGAACTCCTAATCCTCTAAACCTGTGAATTGCTCCCTATCACCATTCAAGTACTTGCCTTTGGGATAGAGGGATTTCCAATCTCTCCCTAATTTGTGTCCTTGGATTCTACCCCGATTACCTCTAGCTTTGCCCCATCCTATGCTCCTGGAGCCTCTTCTCCTAATCCTAAGAATATTTCTTTTTCTCCCCACCTCCCTTATTTCCTCTTCCCTGCTCTTCCAATCCCCCTCTCTATCCTCTTTCTGGTTTTCTCCCCATAGGGTGTTTAAGAAGACCAGCTCCAATGGGAAGGTGAGAGAACCTGGCCCAGCTGGGTAAATGAGAGGGCAAAAGGGATAGGTGGGTACATCCTTCAAGGTCAGGGGTCTGGGTTGGGGGTTTCAGGGGAATCCATTCAAAAATGATCACGAGAATAACATGGGAGGTTGTTCCACAACAGCTCTCCATCTACCTGGGGAAACGGGACTTCGTGGACCATGTGGACACAGTGGAACCCATTGGTCAGTGAGTCCAAAAAGGGGAAGCCTGGGGAAAGAAGAATGGAAACTAGGCAGTAAAAGAAAGTCCAGGAAAGACCGCGCAGAAAAGGAGGCCAATTAAAGGGAAGAATGGGAAGAAACATTTGAGGGATCATCTTCTGTTTCACTGTCTGAGAGTTTTTCCTGACCAAGGTGCTGTCTGTCCCTCTCTCCGCAGATGGTGTAGTCCTGGTTGATCCCGAGTACTTAGAAGGTCGAAAGTGTAAGTGGAAATCCTTGTTGGTCTTTGTATGTTTCAGACAGGTAACCCGATGAGTGGATTGCACCAGAAATGTATAAGAAAACCAGAAAGTGGCAGGAACTGTGAATACCGTGTCTGGTGGAGGCTGACAACTGGGAATTCCAGCCCAGTGTGGCCAAATTTTCTAATTGTTAACTAGAAACTGTAAATGAAAGCTCAGAATATGAAAAGATTATGGTGCCCCTTACCCAAATAATAGTCCAAGTAAATATCTAAAGCATAAATTAAATTTTATTTTTCAAAATTTTATAGGATTTACACTTGTGCTGAAATTAAAATAGCTTCTTTCAAAATTTTGAATTTTCTCTATTATTATTGGTGGTGCCCCTGCTTGGCTATTGATCTGAATCTTAGGCTGCCTATGATATAATCCAATAAGCCAGAAATCCATATTTTAATGCAAATTTCCTGATTTTCAAATGTTGGCAACTCACTAAAAGACTTTAGAAGCCTGGATAGATTAAATCCCCAACCCTGCTTTTTTTTCTGTTGGCTGGATGTGACCTTCAGGCTGCCGTTTTGCAACCTCTGGTATTCATCTTTCCATCTTTCTTTTTGTGTTAGGAAACTGCCTGATGTTTTATTCAAGAAAAAAATCCCAAACAAAGAAACAAAATAACAACCGTAAGAAGTAACAGTAAAAAACATTACTCTGGAAGCAGCACTACATATCAAGATTACACTGACTTTTTTTTTTTTCTGCTTTTTTTCCCTTTTAATTCTCACTATGGATTAACTCCACTGTGATCCAACTAGAATGAAAATTGGGTTTGATTTGAAAAAGGCCATGAATGGGTTGATGAATACTAGTTCAGATGTAACCATTAGATATTGGAGAATAAAGTAGCCTAAATCTCTCAGATTAAGCAGTGTCAAAAAGCAATCCAGTCAATTTGAAATATTAGAGTAACTTTGGGATAGACTCATAAATTAACCAACTTATTTAAGGTTCCCAAGTATTCTATATTTCTAAAACCAAAATCGTTTTTTCACATTTCTATAAAATCCTCACAAGCTATGGAAAGAAATCTTTAGTTAAAAAATATATGTTGTTCTAGGAAGACGATGCATTTTTCCTTTTATTCTAATCTTCCTTTATGTCCCCTTAGTAGAGTTTTATATTACTTTTCATTTAAGTTGTGCATATTTGTTTTTTTTGTTTTTTTTTTTGAGACGGAGTTTTGCTCTTGTTGCCCAGTCTGGAGTGCAATGGCAGGATCTCGGCTCACCGCAACCTCCGCCTCCTGGGTTCAAGTGATTCTCCTGCCTCAGCCTCCTGAGTAACTGGGATTAGAGGCATGCGCCACCACACTCAGCTAATTTTGTATATTTAGTAGAGATGGGGTTTCTCTATGTTGGTCAGGCTGGTCTCAAACTCCTGACCTCAGGTGATCCGCCCACCTCAGCCTCCCAAAGTGCTGGGATTACAGGCATGAGCCACCGCGCCCGGCTAAATTGTGCATATTTCTTGTTTATTCTTAGTTTTTCAATATGTTTTGTTACCTCTATGAAGATTGTCTTGTTTGCATCATATTTCCTAATGTGTTTTTCTATCAAGGTACATTTGTGGACGTAAAATGTGCTTACTCTGTACTGTGGAGTGATAAAGGCCAGTGATAGGGCAGTAGTATATGTGGTGGTGTGAACGAATTGTTGTTCAACAAAAATCTATCTGGAATCTCTCTCTGTATTATTTCTTACAACTGCATGTGACTCCACAATGATCTCAAAATACAAAGTTTAACTTCAAAAGGATAATGAGAGCAAAATAAAAAATACCTAAGGTGGCCTTGTGTTCAATTATAGCAACAGACAAAGTTGGGAAGCAAACACAACAGATATTAACGGTAGTTATCTGTGGAACATGATTCATTATTTTGGAACTTTGATTTGTCTCTTCTGATGTTCAGACAATTAACATATTTTTTGTAGAATAAACACAAGTATAAACTAATGACTTTAGAATAGATACTGACTTTTGAAAGGAAATAAAAACAAGCAATTTCCTAGCACGCAAAACAAAAGGATAATTCTAAACTGCTAGAAAGCCAATTAGAGCATCAGTGGGGGGTAGGAGTTTCGAGATGCAGTTGATGTCTTAGTCTCCTGCCCTCCCTACACAGGAATAGCAAGCGATTCCAAGAACAAGTCATCTGATTAACACCCTTACCTCGGGGACTACTAGATCCCCTTCTGCCTCGCCCATCCTGACCTTTTTTCTGTGTCATTCCTCATCTCTTTCATTTCTTCTCTCACCTGCCTCCTTCCAGCCACCTCTTTTCCGCTCCTTTTTCCCTTTCTGTCTTTCTGCTTTCCTTTATCCCTTATTTCCCTTTCTTTCTCCTTTCTCCCACTATAATTGGCCATAATTGAGAACCAAGGTGAATCTATTTTTTGTATCTTTTGAAAATTACTAGATTTGTCTCCATTGTAGAAAAATTTTAAAACGTAGATGAAGAAGAGACTGCAACCTTGCCATCTTTAATCGCTAATAATATTTTTCATCTTATTTATTCATATTTTCTATGCAAACATCTATATTTTCATTAAAAATGCTATACTATAAATAATATTTTATAATCCTTTAAACCTGTGTCAGTATATAAAAATCTATAACTTTTTAAGTTGCCTAGTATTATATTGTATGGGAATACCACGAAGCCCTGTAATACACATACTTTTTATACTAGTTCAATTATTTCTTTAGGCGAAATGCCTAGAAGAGAAATTAATGGCAAAAAGGCATTCACCATTTTTAAAGCTTTCTATACCTATTGTCAAATTGCTCTCTAAAATACTTATGCCAATTAAATCTCCCTCCTGCAGTGCATGAGGCTGTCCATATTACCCTAGCCTTTATAAACACTGATACTATCAATACTTTCAGGCTTTGCTGTATATTTTGAATATAGGTTCATTTTCCTCGTTCTCAATTTTAAAAGAAAATAATCTGGTGTTTGATGTTTTGAGTTCTGAAAAATACTAAAATAAGTTGCTTTCTACTCAAGTGCTGCTGTTGGTAGTTTTCTTTCCTTTGGGTCACAGCCCCTGATAGAAATAAGGTTACCCATTCGTGTTCTACATCTTTACTTGCCTCAACCTCTGTCACCCTGTACATGGACAGGTATCCCTCCCTACTCCATTCTACATTCCATTAGCCTTTTTCAGAGGCTTTCTATCTGCCTCTCACTTGATTTCTTTCAAATCTTAGATGCCAGTTACAAAGTATGAGTTCAATTATAACTCTTCCATTCCTGTCAGTATTCCCATCATCATCATCAACATCCACATCTACATTATTTGAAGTTTCCAAAGAGATTTCTTTTTTCTTTTTTTGACATGAGGTATTGCTCTGTTGCCCAGGCTAGAGTGCAGTGGTACCATCTCAGCTCACTGCAACCTCCGCCTCCTGAGTTCAAGTGATTCTCCTGCCTCAGCCTCCCGAGTAGCTGGGACTACAGGCACCCACCACCACGCCTGGTTAATTTTTGTGTTTTTACTAAAGGCGAGGTTTCACCATGTTGGCCAGGCTGAAATTGAACTCCTGTCATTGGGCGATCCAACCAACTTGGCCTCCCAAAGTGCTGGAATTACAGGAGTGAGCCACTGTGCCCCGCCTGCAAAGGGATTTCTTATACATCAACTCCTCACAACTGTCTTATAAGTTAAGTTAAATACCTATGAGCCTGGAACTTGGAGACAGACAAGCCTGAGTTGAAATCCTGCGCCATTGTTTAACAGCACTGAGCTCCCTTTCCGTACCTGTAAAGTGGAGATAACAGCACGTCAGAGGGTTAGTTTGAGGTCTAAATAGCATATATAGAACTACCAGAGCAGTCCTATTCTTGACAGGTGTAGTAACTGAGACCCGGAGAACTCAAGGGGTTTGTGCAAGTCCTAGTCAAGTCCAGGTATTCTGACCCTAAGTATTATTGTTTCTCTTTTTCATGATAAAATATTTCAGGCACGTAGAATTATGTTAGGAATATTCTGTAAAAATCACCAAGCTTTAATAAGAATGACAGAAACAAACTAAAGCCTCCTGTGTGTCCCTCCTCCCTCCCTACTCCTTCTCCTCCTGCTCTCCTCCCTCCACAGATAACCACTATCCTGAATTTGGGGTTTGTTATTCGCTCAGTGGCTCCATTCTTGTACTCCATAGTTAAGTGTCTATGATGAACTTTGATATTGTCCTATCTGCTTTCAAACTTTTTTATTTTGTTTTGTTTTCTTTTTGAAATGAAGTCTCGTTCTGTCGCCCAGGCTGGACTGCAGTGGCATGATCTCGGCTCGCTGCAAACTCCACCTATGGGCTTCAAGCCATTCTCCTGCCTCAGCCTCCCGAGTAGCTGGGATTAGAGGCACCTGCCACTACACCAGGCTAATTTTTATATTTTCAGTAGAGACCGGGTTTCACCAGCATGGCCAGGCTTGTCTTGAACTCCTGACCTCTGATCCACCCACCCTGGCTCCCAAAGTGCTGGGATTACAGGCATGAGCCACTGTGCCTGGCCCCTTTGAAACTTTATATATAAACGGTAATATAGTGTGCCTATCATTCCGCAGCTACATTTGTTTGTTCAGTAGCTTCCCTTTTTTTTTTTTTTTCCAGACAGTTTTGCTCTGTCACCCAGGCTGGAGTGCAATGGTGCAATCTCAGCTCACTGCAACCTCTGCCTCCCAAGTGCAAGCAATTATCCTGCCTCAGCCTCCCAAGTAGCAGGAATTACAGGTGTACACCACCATACCTGGCTAATTTTTGTATTTTAGTAGAGACGGGTTTTCACCATGTTGGCCAGGCTGGTCTTGAACTGCTGCCTAGGCATCCCAAAGTGCTGGGATTACAGGCGTGAGCTACCACACCGGGCCTGGTTCAATAGCTTTTGAGATTTAACCGTGTTGACACGGGTCTTAGTCTGTTTCTATTGCTACAGCAAAATACGTGAGACTAGGTAATTTAAAAGTACAGAAATTTATTTTCTCATAATTCTGAAAGGGAGGAAGTCCAACATCAAGGCTCCAGCAGGTGCAGTTGTGTGATGAGGGCTGCTCTCTGCTTCCAAGATGGTGCCTTATTGCTGCATCCTCTGGAGGGGAGGAACATTGTGTCCTCACGTGGTGGAAGGTGAAAGGGCAAACGGTGTCCTATCTAAGGGCCTTAATCCGGTTCATGAAGGGATTCAGGAACAAAGAAGGCCCATGATCTAATCATTTCTTGATGGCCATCTTAATACCATCACAATGGCCATCAAGTTTCAACTCCTGAATGATAGAGAGGACACATACAAGCCATAGCATTCCATCAAGTTCTAGTTCATGTATTTTAATCTTGGTTTAGTATTCCATTTTGTAAATATGCCACAAACGTTTTACTCATTCTCCTGCTGATAGATATTTAGATTATCTCCAGGTTTAGTTCTGACAAACATTGATGCAACGGCCATTATCATATGTATCTCCTTGTAAACAAGAACAAAAGCTCCTTTAAAGTCACATTATTAGGTCATACACTACGAGCAGATTTAATTCTACTGGATAATCCCAAATAGATTTTCAAATTAGTTGCATTAATACTCCCACGAGCAGTATGTAACAACTCTTTTGTTCCACATCTTTTTTTTTTTTAATTGCATTTTAGGTTTTGGGGTACATGTGAAGAACATGCAAGATTGTTGCATAGGTACACACGTGGCAGTGTGATTTTCTTCCTTCCTCCCCCTCACCTATATCTGGCATTTCTCCCCATGCCATCCCCCCCAACTCCCCACCTCCCGATGTCCCTCCCCTATTTCCCTCCAACAGACCTCAGTGTGCAGTGCTCCCCTCCCCGTGTCCATGTGTTCCCATTGTTCAACACCCGCCTATGAGTGAGAACATGCGGTGTTTGATTTTCTGCTCCTGTGTCAGTTTGCTGAGAATGATGGCTTCCAAGTTCATCCATGACCCTATAAAGGACACGAACTCATCATTTTTTATGGCTGCGTAATATTCCATGGTGTATATGTGCCACATTTTCCCTGTCCAGTCTATCATTGATGGGCATCTGGGTTGGTTCCAGGTCTTTGCTATTGTAAACTGTACTGCAATGAACATTTGTGTGCATGTGTCCTTATGGTAGAACGATTTATAATCCTTTGGATATATACCCAGTAATGGGATTGCTGGGTCAAATGGAATTTCTATTTCTAGGTCCTTGAGGAATCGCCACACTGTCTTCCATAATGGTTGATCTAATTTACACTTCCACCAACAGTGTAAAAGTGTTCCTATTTCTCCACATCCTCTCCAGCATCTGTTGTCTCCAGATTTTTTAATGATCGCCATTGTAACTGGCGTGAGATGGTATCTCAATGTAGTTTTGATTTGCATTTCTCTAATGACCAGTGATTATGAGCATTTTTTCTTATGTTTGTTGGCCTCATGTATGTCTTCTTTTGTAAAGTGTCTGTTCATATCCTTTGCCCACTTTTGAATGGGCTTGTTTGTAGCACATACTATTGTCAGACTTAGAACTTTTTGACAATCTGATGGGTGCGAAATCTTATCTGGTTGCCCTTTAATTTGCATTTATCTGACTACTCATGAGATTAAACATGTTTTCATATGTTATTGGGCATGCCTTCACATTTTTTGCACACTATGATACTGGTCCATCATTCTTGTTGATGTGTGATGTGCTTACGTATTTTGGATGCTAACCTTCTGTGTATTATATGTGTTGCAAAGATATTCCCCCAGGCTTTCCTTTTTTGTTTGTTTATAAAGACATTCAATATAAATCTCACAGCAGACAAATGTGTTAATAGTGGTTTTCTTTGCGGCCATAGTCTTTTGATCATATGACATCACCTCTCTGTGTCTTCTTGACCCAGTTAAGATTCCCCTTCCCACTCAGGCCTGACAGGCCACTCTCTTCCTCCTTTGCCTGCAGTGTTTGTCATGTTGACATGTGCCTTTCGCTATGGCCGTGATGACTTGGATGTGATTGGTCTGACATTCCGGAAAGATCTGTATGTGCAGACCCTGCAAGTGGTCCCAGCTGAATCCACCAGCACTCAGGGGCCCCTCACAGTCCTACAGGAGCGATTGCTGCACAAGCTAGGGGACAATGCCTACCCCTTTACCCTGCAGGTACTGACCCCAAACCCTGGGTGGGCAAGGTTTCCAGGGAAGATTAAGAGAGGAAGCTCAAGAAGGGCAACAAGGGAGAGGGGTCCCTATTTGTGTTGTATCGGTTTGAATTCTTTTCTTTTCTACTTCTTTCATGACCACTTTTTTGTCCCCTAGATGGTGACCAACCTGCCCTGTTCTGTGACACTACAGCCAGGTCCAGAAGATTCAGGCAAGGTGAAGACCGAGGACTGGGTTCTAAGAAAGAGGGATAGATGGTAGTGCCAGGGTAGAGGAACAGTGGGACAAACAGGCAAGACTGGAGAGAAATGGACAGCTAAGGAGGGAGGTCAGGCATTTTCTTATAGGCCCACGGGGAAGGGAAGACAGCACTGGAAATGAACTCTCTTTGCTCCTGTCCCTTTACAGCCCTGTGGGATTGACTTTGAGGTGAAGAGTTTCTGTGCTGAAAACCCGGAGGAGACAGTGTCCAAGAGGTATTCTCTGGTTCTCCCCAAAATCCTTGCCTCCAGCCTGTCCCAGGAAACAGATCCTGCTCTAATGACAGAAATAGCCCCACTTTCAACCTCCACAGCATCGTCGCCACCAGTGACGCCCGTTCCTGAGTCCCCTCTGACTTCTCTTCTTTGCTCTAGGGCAAGGGTCAGCAAACTTTTGTGTACGGTCCAAAAAATAACTACTTGGTTTTTGTGGGCCATGTAGTCTCTGTTGCAACTATGCAACTCTGCTGTTGTAGCACAAACACAGCCACAGGAGGTACAGTAATGAATGAGTGTGGCTGTGTGTCCGATAGAACTTTGTTTATGGACACTGAAATTTGAATTTCATGTCATATCCACATGTCGTAAAATACTATTGTTCCTTGATTTATTTCAACCATTTATAAATGTAGTATAACCATTCTCAGTTCCTGGACCATAGGAAAACAGGCAACAGGCCAGATTTGGCCAGTGGGCCATAGTTTACCAACCTTTGGTCTACATACTTACATTAAGGGTCTAGAGGAGTTCTCTGAGGGGGGCCTTCCTCTATTCCCATTCTTAAGCAAGGGTTGGGCTGTGCGGGTGGGATGGGAGAGGGCTGTGGGTCTGAAAGGAGGATGCTCTGGCTGATCCCTTGGTCTCTGCTCAGAGACTATGTGCGACTGGTTGTCCGGAAAGTACAATTTGCACCACCGGAGGCAGGCCCTGGCCCCTCAGCCCAGACCGTCCGCCGCTTTCTTCTATCAGCTCAGCCCCTACAACTCCAGGCCTGGATGGACAGGGAGGTTTGTTACCCTCACTTCCTGCCTCCTGCCCCAGCATCCCCTCTGATGCCCTTTCTTCACTGATAACCTACGTGGGCAGGCAGAGATGGGAGCCAGGGTGGCAAGACTGCTAAGGAAACAGGGTTTATAGGTCTCCATCTGTGCATTCGTCCTCCAAACTTGACATGGGGCCCCCCTCCTGCTTTAGGTTCACTACCACGGAGAACCCATCTCCGTCAATGTTTCTATCAACAACTCCACCAACAAGGTCATCAAAAGAATCAAGATTTCCGGTGAGTTTCTTTTCCCATACCTCTGCACCTGGTCCCAAAGCCACAGGTCTTTTTCCACAATTCTGCCTCACTTACCTGTCTGCATTCATCTAGGCTTTCCCTCTATCCCACATCTGTCAAAATGCACATCTCGTTTTCTCACTGGCCACGTCTTACTACATGATGTATAGTGTACCTGTGTGTAAGGTCACCTCTAAGGACAGTAAGCTGGGGTCACAAAAATGACTTATTGATTGTAATCATATATTTTTCCTGACTTGTTCAGTCGACCAGGTCACTGATGTTGTCCTGTATTCACTAGACAAGTACTCCAAGACTGTGTTCATTCAGGAATTCACGTGAGCTGGCACTGGGGCTGGGGTCAAAGAGCTAAAGGGTCGGGTGTTGGGAAGAGGTCCAGTAGGCCGGTGAGAAGGTGGGAAGACAAAAGGGAGGGAAAGTTCCGAAGAATGGGGAAATTCAAGATGAAGGCTATAGTAGAGAATGGGAGGGATTCCGAGGACAATGGGATGGAGGGGACACAACTTACCCCCAGGAGTCCCATCAAAATGCTGAGCGAGGGCAGAACCTTAAGGATTTCCAACTAGAATGAATTTCTCCCAGTCTTCACAGTTAAACATGTCACCTCTCTGGGATTCTCCAGTAGGTTCTCATACAATCTTGTACAAGATACTCTTGAGAGTAAAAGTGTACTGAGTAGGCAAACCCATTCTAAACCCTTCTCTTGTTCATCTTTCAAAGGGAGACTGTAGCTGCTAATTCCAACTTCTCCCAGAGCTTTGCAGTAACCCCAATCCTGGCTGCCAGCTGCCAGAAACGGGGCCTGGCACTGGATGGGAAACTCAAGCATGAGGATACCAACCTGGCCTCTAGCACGATGTAAGCTCACATGTAACTCTCAGCCTCCATTTCCTACTCCTACATACACAGCTCTGAGGTTTCATCTTCAGTGAAGCCTACCTGTTTTTAAACTGTCTCTAGGGCAGTGTTCACAGACCCCTCCAGGATCGAGGGCCAGTAGCAAGCTCAGTAATGCCCGTGGGACCAATGGCAGGCTTACGTCAGAGGTGGAAAGAAAGGAAAACATGGAGAGGAAAGCAATCCTTACGTTGTATAAGATTTCACAGTTCACCGAGGTCCTACATATGTACTATGTCATCTTTGTGAGAATCCCGCTAAAGTAGCCTGGATAGATGTTCTTACTCCCTTTTACATTTAAGGACCCTGAGTCTCAGAGAGAAGAAAGAACTGGTTTAAGGTAGCATGGCTAATAAGAGGTAGAAGCAGACAGGATTTTATCACATGTCCTCTGGCTCTGAATATTGTGATCTCTACAGAATCGACTCTCTAGAGAACATGAAAATGCAGTAGAAGCGTAGGAGATGAGAAATGGAGAAAAAGGAGGACAACAAAGGAAAAGGATGCAACAGAAATTAATAGAATCCTAGGACGTCATTCACTTGGTCCTGTCCCTCAGAGGCCATAGCCTTAGATGTGTCTCCCAGCAAAAACCACCTGCCAACATCTGATAGGTGTAATCCCTCCATCCCTCCCCATGGCTTATCAATCAGGCAGCTATAGACTGCGAACACTGGAAATAGCCTTGGAAATCATCCAAGCAGCGTTATTTTATATGTAAGAGATCAGCAGTAGAGAGCAATGATGAGATTTTTCCCAAGCTCCCTGGAGGAGGTAGAATGAGCTAGATCCTGAAATATGTGAAGGATCTAGTTACCAACAGTAGAAAAAAAGGAGCATTCTATACTGGGAACACAGCATGGGCAAAGGCTAGAAGATGGGAATCCACATGGCGTGTTCTGATCACGGAGAGAAGATGGGTCTGCTTAGGTCGTATCCAGCAGTTAGGGCAGAAAGTGTTAGAGAGGCTAGCTAGGGCAAGATTGTTAGGGGTCTTGAAAGGCAGGCAGAGTAGTTGTTGTATTCAAAAGGTAGGCTCTTGAGCAGAGGGTGACATGGTAAAACTGAATGTTAGGGAGACAAATGTGGTCTCCATGGGTAGGAGAGCTTAGAGCCTGGTAGATATTCTGGGAGAAGACTAAATGTTATACGGTGTGGTGATGGGAATGCATGAGAAGAAACTGGGGACTGAATGAATTCTCCTAATGCCCCTACACGCCCCCAAATGAATACTACACCCTCCAGTATTAGACCAGGAATGGACAAAGAGCTGCTGGGGATCCTGGTGTCCTACAAAGTCAGAGTCAACCTGATGGTGTCCTGTGGCGGGTAAGTGAGGGTTCTGGGTCTTGGGCTAAGGAGTCAAGGGCTTTTCGCCTCTCTTTTTCTCCCGGTTAGATTGATCCAATCCAACCATTCCTCACCCCTTCTCACAGACCAGGTTCCCAAACCTGTGAGCTAGTGAACAAGTCACTTTCCCTTCCAGAAACCCATTCTGTGGCTGGCTCATTAGGGCTTATGATCCCTCATTCCCTATTAAAACTATGTTGCCCCTTCTCTATTTGCTGCTAATAATTTTGGGTGTCATTCTACCCACAGCATCCTAGGAGACCTGACGGCCAGGTAAGAGACTGTGGGGTGGGGGGACATGGGCAAGAAGAGGAGGACAAGGGATGGACTGAGGGCATCCAAAGACTGGAAACCTAAGGGAGGGAGGTCCAGGGGTTGGGTTTGTAGAGAGATGAGATGTCATCCCACATTGGGATCCTTGCAGCGATGTTGGTGTGGAGCTACCCTTGGTCCTGATCCACCCGAAGCCATCTCATGGTGAGTGATCCGGAGGAACTCACAGGAAGGGTTTTCCTGAGGGCTGAGGTCCAAGGCATTCTGATCTCATGAATTGGAGACGAGCAGTTTGGCTGTGGATGGAATAGCAATAGGCAGGCTGGGTGTCTAGGTTTTCAGGGGAACTGTGTGTGTCCTGAGTGCTGGGGAGGAAGGATTGGAAAGGGAGGGAAAAGGGTAAAGATACTTCTTCGGGGAACTGAAGAACCCCGAATCAGCTTCAGCTGCATTTTTTTTTCCCTCCCTCTCCATGCTTGCTGCAGAGGCCGCTAGGTAAATGGAATAGGAGACTTGGAAGCCCCATTCCCCTCTTCCCATTGCCACTCTCCATGTTATGACGATGGAAATGTGAAAATGCTTTCCCATGGTGCTTTAACTACAGGTCCAGCGTAAACATACGGCTTAGCTTCGTGTCACAGTTCGGTGCTTTCAATATGCCCTCTGTTCCCTTTCTGCATACCCCACCTTCCTGCCCCTTTCGTCTTTCATTCTTTGATACCTTCCTCCTTCCCACTCCTCATCCTTATTTCCCTTCCAGTGCGCTTGGGGAACTCTTGTGCTGGGAAATTTGGGCGGGAACGAAAGGAAACAAGCCAGAGTGGGTGATGGAGGATGGGGGATGGGGCATCAAGAGGGGGCCAAGGAGCCTAGCTGGGAAGCAGGGAGGGGATCACTTTTCTGGGATCAGGAAAAACCAGTGGACACGGAGGACACCCAGAAAGCGGTTGCTAACCCTCTATTCTCTGAGGACATAGTCATCGAGGAGTTCACGCGGAAAGGCGAGGAGGAGAGCCAGAAGGCTGTGGAGGCGGAGGGAGACGAGGGGAGCTGAGCACCTTGCTCTGGTGCCCGTCTGTGTGGGAGCCCCCACTGTAACACTCTAATAAATCAGCTTGTTCAGATGTGCCTGGTGATCTCTTGCCTATTTCCTCCAACTGGAGGGTCATGGAACTACTGAGAATGACCTTCCCTTCCCCCACCCCTTCGCTGTGACTACATTACACTTAGCCGATGCTTTCCCCTACACTGACCCCCATTTCTCTCTGACACAGTCAGTGGCCATCCCTGTCTCCGCCCCATGACCGCACTGCAACGGTCATAGGATCGCTCTTAACACGAGGAGCAGCGCGAGCTGCCAGGAGGGGGCCGAGGGGGCGTGGCCACGCCCAGGCGTCGGTGCCAAGCCAATGGCCGTGAGCCGACGTCGGTAGAGCGCCGCGTGACGTCAGGTGGCACGGGCTGAGCGCCGGAAGCCATTTTGGCTGCCACCTACCTAGCTGACGCCATGTCTGCCTTCGGTCACCGCGAGGGCTGGTTGGAGGCCGGAGACTTTGGCCTCAAGGCTGCCGAAGGACTGGAATACCAGTCTCTGTGCAAAGCTAAACTCGTATTCCTGGGAGAGCCTAGCGGTGCGGGTCTGGGTTGGGCTTTGGGGACAGGAAGGTGTGAATGGCATTAAATGGGGCGGGGCTTTCTCCGGGGAATCGAGTTCCTCCTCGTTGGGAAACCTTAGAGTGGGAGGAGGAGGGAGGGCTCATAGAAACTTTGAGGGGAGAAAGGGCACCCGGGGCGACGATTGGCCTGCTTATCTCCCTCACAGTAGGGAAGACATCCATCATCACCCGCTTCATGTACGACAGCTTCGGCTGCACCTTCTAGGTAAGCCTGCCGCCGCCGAGCCATATGGTACATTTTAGCCCCTCTTCTTGGCGGACTCACCTGGAGATTCTCCTCCTCAAGGTTATGTATTGTACGGGTTGGGAAGTGGAGCCGGGACATTTTCCTAAACGGTCATTCTCCACTTCGGCTTCTAAGACTGCCTCATGTTGGGAATAGAGGGAATGCCGGAGAGTACCTGACTTTCTTTTGCAGGCAACTGTTGGAATTGACTTCTTGTCTAAGACCATGTGCTTGGAGGACCGAATGGTGAGTGTTAACGCTCATACCACTAACCCTACACCAGCCCCTTCAGCCTATTCATCACAGTAGGGTAGCACCATCAAGAAAACGGAAGCCTCTTCAACTTACCAAGCCCTATGAGGTTTCTTGTTCTGTCTGCCGTCATCTCATCTCCAATTGTAACATCCATAAAGTCCAAGAGACCTTGAATCCTTAAATCTGCTGTGCTATAGGGTCTTCCTGAATCAAATCAGTATATTAAAATTGGTTGCACCTGTCCTAGGACTGTAGGCCAACTTGGTTTCAGGCCACAGCAGCAGCCGCTTCTCAGGGACCCAGTCTCCCTGACTTTTGATATTCTGCCTTTACTAGGTTTGATCTTTTTACAAAGGCTAGTTTCTTTTCTACGTTTCCCCATCTTCTTCCTAAACATTTGTTTTACGCAGGTTCAGCTGCAGCTATGGGACACAGCTGGCCAGGAGCGCTTTCACAGCCTGATTCCTAGCTATGTTCATGGTTCAACTATCGCAGTGGTTGTCTATGATGTCACAAGTGGGTGCTGTGCAATGTTTTATTTGAAAAGGAAGTGACAGGGAGATGGATACAATTAGCAGAGAGGAATGGTTCCCTCCAAATCTCTACTAAATGTTTCAACACTCTGCCACATGTTCTCTTGCAGACATCACTTCTTTTAAGGAGACAGATAAGTGGGTAGAACATGTTCGAGCAGAAAGAGGTGACGATGTTGTCATCATGTTGGTGGGTAACAAGATTGATTTGAATAACAAAAGGTAAAGTATAACTACAGCTTCCTCTGGCATACCTAAAATTCAGTCTCTATGGGGAGGGTCGACTGTGCTCGATTTATTTGGGGAGGAGTTACCCTGGCTCCCTGTGCCCCCCAGCAGCACTGCAGGAGGGGAAGGACAGGGACACGTCCCATGAGGGCACAAGGATATGTGGGGAGTAGAGGAGAGAGTCCCCACGCTGTAATCAGAAGGATCATAGGTTTAAGGCTTCTAGGGTTCCTTGCTCTAAGTAAGCATCATTACACCTCAGAGGACTGTATCCCTATCCACTAACTCTGGTCCTTTTCATCAATTCTAATTTGTCCAGACAAGTCACTGCAGAAGAGGGTGAAGAAAAATCCAGAAACCTCAACGTGATGTTTATTGAGACCAGTGCCAAAACCAGTTACAATGTGGACAAGGTAATACTTGTTTCTTTTTATGTTACTTTAATTGCACTCTGTCTGTAGCTACCACCACTGTTTACTCTTTGGGATACCTTTGGCTTGTCCTTTGTGGGGTGGGGGGCAAGGTTCATCTCCCATCACGTAGCCCAAAGGCCCTGAATTATTCCAGCCTCTGAACCTGACCTTGTTTTTTTCCTTTCTTTTTTTGTCACCTTTCACACACACACACACACACACACAGCTATTCCAGCGTGTGGCTTCTGCCCTTCCTTCCACAAGTACTTCACCTGTACCGAAAGAGGGGCGTATCCTTTTTTCCTACTTTTGCTGGGGTAGGGAGTATACAAGTAGAGAAGGTAAGTTTCCTTTGTTGACTTGATGCCTGAGTGGTACTTAAGGTTTGGTCTGACTTTAGCCTACAGTAGTTCCTTGGTTTGCCTTTAAGTGAGGGGGATTGTAAGATCAGAATTCCTCTTCTACATCTCCTAGAAGCTGACCCTGGGTGTTGAGATTTGACTCCAGTCACCTCACTGTATTAGCTTCCTTAACACACACTTCAGCAGTTGAAATCCAACTGGAGCCCTTCGAGGAGTCAGGCAACAGAAACTACTGTTCCCAGTGACAGCTTAGGGTTTCTCTGCCTCATTTCATGGGTTTCTTGCATCTGGGCTTGCCACACCAGTTCTCCCCCACCTCGTTTTATGATACATGGCCGCTTACTGGCTTCCAGTTCCTAGCCTTGGGGTAAAAACGGAACCCCTGACAGTGCTATCATATTTTTCTGACTGCATCTCACAGCTACTGGGCAGAAGCTTCTTGCGGCACCTGGCAATTCTACCTTACTTTCTCAGATGGCTAAAAGATATCTATAGAGAATACAGTTCTACAGCAGCTGACATACTTCGAAGGCAGATACAATTCAATCTCCACTGTTTGTTGTTGTTTTTCACCTACACCCTCAATAAATGACTGGTCCTTTAACCTAAGGCTGTCATTGCTTGTGCTTTCTACACACTATACCTATATTTTCACAATGTAATTATCTCATGTTGATGCCCCAATAGAACCATTCCACGTGTCTTAATTGAGAACCAATTTACAGGAGGGTTTCTGCCTCTTAGGCCCCTGGAACCTGGATGGGACTTTGTATCATGTTTGTCATACTTCTTAGATGAATTGTTTTTGACCTGTTAACCATAGGGATAGTCTTGGACCTCAGCATTCAGCCGAGTGAGCCAATGTGCCTTTATGGAAGTAACCAAGCTACTATTTTCTTTCTCTTGTGGCCAATGGGATTGGGTGGGGATCAGCAAATAGGAGCATAGAACAGAATTTCCCAGGAAGTATAGAGACAGCTACATTAATTCTACCTCCAGCTCTGCTGTCAAGGTATGTTGCTACCTAACAATAGCACTGAGGCTCTAGAAGAGGTATCTCAGTAGAGCTGGGGTCAGATATATAGGAAGAACCAGAACTTCCTCATACAGTATAGTACTACTATGTAGAACATTGTTTCACATATTTCAAGACTTACATACTTTGCTTAAAAATCCAGATATCCAGACCGCACCTCAGACCCACAGAATCATTGTCCAGTTGAAGGGTCTATAAATATATATTTAAATTCCCTATGATTCTTTCAAGGCAAATTTTGGGCCTTCATCCTTTGGGTACATCACCTCGTATCACACAAGAAAACTTTTATTTGAGACACAGTCTCACTCTTTCACCCAGGCTGGAGTGTAGTGGCACAATCTGGGCTCACCGCAATGTCCGCCTACCGGGTTTAAACTATCCTCCTACCTCAGCCTTTCAAGTAGCTGGAATTATAGGCACATACGACCACACCCAACTTATTTTTGTAGTTTTATTAGAGACAGTTTTACCATGTGGCCATGCTGTTCTCAAACTCTTGGCCCCAAGCAATCCATTTGCCCTAGCCTCCCAAAGTGTTGGGATTACAGGTGTGAGCCACGGCCCCCAGCCTCACACTAGAAAACTTTAAATTCCACATGTGTATTTTGAACATGCCAGTGGTGATGTCATAGGTGTAACTGATAATCTAGTTATGGTGGATTGGTAACTAAATATCTAAAAACATGGCAGAACATTATTTGGGGCTGGGGTGAAGAAAAGGGAGAAGTCAGCAGTTAGTACTACTCAACTTACAAGTTGGAAACTGGGAACCAATTTATTACTGCTGCTTCAGAAAAGAAATGCATCTAAGCCCCTTCTTTCGTTTATGATCCAGATCAAAGAATGTGGGAAAGGAGAAAAGAGAATTATATTAATACTGGTCCCTGCAGAAAAATGTTCAAAGCTTGTAGGTGAAGGCGCAGTTTTTTCAGTGTCCTTCACTCTATGCCATTCCTTGGTTATACTGTGGTTAAAGTTCCTCGGCCTCCCTAATGTTCTGGCCAGACATCATAGGTAATTGTGAGGTAGGTATAATGTTGCTGTTCCTTCCAGCGGCTCCTCTCTTTGGAAGAGCTTTTTCTTCCCTTGGTAGCATTTGACATCCAATCGGTAGCATTCAAAATCCCAGCACTTTGGGAGGCCGAGGCGGGTGGATCACAAGGTCAAGAGATCAAGACCATCCTGGTCAACATGGTGAAACCCCGTCTCTACTAAAACTACAAAAAATTAGCTG